GGGGAGTGACCATCTCAGCAGCCACTGACTTGGGACAAGTCTCTCCTTTCTGTGTTGCCATCTATTCCTCTGTGTAATGGCAGGGGGTCCAGGGGGGAGCACTTTGTGTTAAAAGTCTTCCTGGGCATCAGCTCCAGCAGCCTCGGCAAGGAACGTGCTCCCAGGGATGGTTGCAGGGTGACAGAAAGCCGGCCATCTCCGGGCAGGGTGGGGGCAGAGTCCAGAGCAGTGGACAGGACCATGGGTGTCACAGGAAAGCCACTGCCTCAGCCTCCCCTGTGCCCCGCAGTCTGGCCCCAGCAGGGAGGGCTGGGGCAAGCGCTGAGTCCGCTGAGGCTCGCTTATTGCCAATAGTTAAAGGCCAGAATGTAGGGGCCCCTGGTGGGGCCTGGGGCTGGAGGCTTTGGGTGGGCGTGTTGTTGAACCCCAGGGAGTGGGGAGACCCAGAGATAGTGTGTGGGCTCCGAAGAGGGGGGGGCCTGTGGTGGTTAAGGCTGGGGACGGTCAGGGCACGTTAGCTCCAAGCAGCAGCAGCAGGGCCCCGGCCAGCAGAGTCAGGGACGCGCCGGCGGCCGGCCCGGGGTGCGCGGCGTCGGTGGGGTGGGGGCCGGGGCCGGCAGTGGGGCGGGGGCCGGGGCCGGGGCCGGCAGTGGGGCTGGCTGGGGAGCTGCCGGGGGGCGCCAGGCCACAAGCGGTGTAGGGCTCCAGGCAGGCGGCGAAGGCCATGACATGCGCCACGAAGGTCTGCTCCTGCACGCCGTGCACCAGGTGCGCCTGCGGGCCGCGCGCGTACACCGCCACATCCTCTCCGCCGTGCGTCTCGGACCACAGGGGCACGGCCGTCTGCTGCTGGTACTCGGGGTCCGCTAGCCAGAGGGTGCAGGTTTAGGCCTGGCTGGCGGGCGGGTGGGCTCCCTACTCCCGCTAGTCCCCCACCGAAGTTACCGCAGCCCGCCCACCCGCCCCGGTGCACTCACTGCTCTGGCTTTCGTTGACATTGGGCCGAGAGCCCCCGCTGAGGGCGAAGCCTGGGCCGTTGGCATAAAGGAGGGAGGTGTAGGCCTTGCCATCTGAGGCTTCCCCTGGAGCCAGCCCTGCACGGAGAAGGGGACCTGTGATGGCGCCGAGCACAGCTGAGCAGCGCCCCCTGTGGGCCAGCTCAGGCACTTCTTGCCGGTTCAGCGGCTTGATCTGCGCCAGAACCCAACGTGGTCATTGCTATCATGGCTCCTTTTGACAGGTGAGCAACCGGGCTCAGAGCAATTTCTACCATGTCATTTAGAAAACAGCACCAGCCACTCTCCCTGGCCCTACCGAAAATGGAGCTCCCACGCAGTGTGTAGCCACCGAAAGTGAAGACGTGAGAGTGGTCAGCGGTGATGAGGGTCAGCGTGTCCTTGTCGTTTGTGAGCTGGCTAGCCCTGTCAATGGCGTCATCGAAACTGACAGCCTCGGTCAAAGCTAGGTTAGCTCTGTTCTCATGATGACCGTGGTCAATTCGACCGCCTGCAGGAAGACCACAGGGGCGGTGGGTGATGGGGAACCTGCCCTGAGGCCCCTCCCCTCTTCTGCTCAGCGAGGGGCTGCCACTCACTCACCCTCCACGAAGAGGTAGAAGCCACGGGGGTTCCTGCCCAGCAGGCGCAAGGCTGCCTCCGTCATCTCCATGAGGGATGGTTCCTGCGTGGGGTCTCGGTGGGCTTCATACTTCATGTCTTTTGGTTCAAAGAGGCCTATGGGAAAGGGGGCTGGCAGTGACTGGCGAGGTGGCGTGGGGTCAGCGCACACACCCTGTGCACAAATGCTTGGCCATCTGAGGACCCGGAAGGACAGGGCAGGAAGGCGGGGGTGGGGAGGTGGTCATTACCCATGAGGTGCGTTACAGAGGGGTCCTGGGATGCCTGAATGAGCGCTGTTCGGTTCCACACATACCGGCCATTCTGGGAGGGACAGAACCAGCTTCAGACCCCAGTCCTGCGACCAGAAGCCCTGCCCTAGTCCTTCCGCTAGACCCCAGCAGCCAGGAGCGCCCATCACCTGGTGCTTTTCCTGCCACTCCTGCACCAGGTTCCGACCATCATTCCTGACTCCGCTCTGGGTGGCATCGTCCGGGTACTCAGGGT